GGCCTTTGTTGGGGGAAGGGATGGGCGGGGGGACCGGCATGGCGGCCGGGGGCATGGCATGGCAGCCTGCCCCGGGGCAAGACTGTGACCCAGGGGAGCAGCAATGGTTTATCTCAGCCATGTATTTGGGAGGTGCATCGCCACTGGAATTAAGCTGGAAGAAACCAAGCTTCCAGGAGTGAGCATCTCCAGGCTGGAGTTTTGAAAGCGTTTTTACAGGTTTTAAGTTTTATAGAGCCTAATTCACAGTTCCGGTCCCTAAAACCCAGGCTGCAATTGAAATCTGGTATTCCAGCTTTTGTTACAACCTTTCCCCCCCACCCCTCCTCCTTCTTCATTTTTAATCTGAGTACAAATTGCTGTCAGCACATCAAGTTCATGTGCCAGCCGCACTCGGTACACTCTGTTCTTAGCTCTTCAAAAACAAAATCGCTGCAGGCACCGAGAGAACAATAAGTCAGGGCTGCAACCGGAGTGATGTTCCTTCAGCAGTTTTTTTTTTTCCTGTAATCCAAGAGTGGCTGCAGCCAGCTGACCTGCTCCTGGAAACCTGAGCAGAGATTCCCCCCCCTTTGCCTAGTGTATTTTATGTGCAATTAAAATAGAGCAAAACTATCCTCAAAGGGAAGAATCACAGCATCTTCCTGTGTGTCCTGTTTTAAAGCAGGATCTTCCCGTCGCTGCCACATCCTGCTGGGGACAGGGGACCTGGGAGAGCTGTAGTGCTGCTTTTGGGGTGAGGGATTATGGATCTGTACTTACTGGGAACATGCAGGGGGATGGCATGGTACTGTGGGGTTGCTGGGTTACCTGTATTTTAGGCTGAATTTTCCACTTTTTTGTGCCTAAGAAAATAGCCACCTTGATTTTGGGTAGTGCAAAAATAGAGGTCAGCCCCAGAGGAACTGGATTTGCCTTTTGTCCTTGTTCTGAGCTGGGTGAGCACACACCAGCCTGAGCCTCGTGGTCACTGCATGCCAGTGGTGGATGCAGGATTTATCCTGGCATGCTGGCAAGCACGTGAGCATCCTCTGCTCTACTGCACTTGAGTTCCAGCATGGCTTTGGTGGCAGGAGGGGGGTGACGAGGCAGAGCTTGGAGTCCTGTCCCCACGGTGGGGAGAGCATCCTTGGGTTGTGTTACAGTGGTGTTTAACGACCGAGGGATGGACCTGACCTGGGAACGGGGGTCTGCCTGCAGTCTCACTTAGTCCATGTGTCTCATCCTGGGGACTTTCCATAGGTCCCAGGGCAGGAAAGTGTCCATGGGGCAGAGGTGGGCAGGTTTCCTTCAGCCCAGGCTGCAGCTCTCCTGTACGGAGCCCAGACCCTCTTGGCTGTGTCCAGCACGGTGTCTGTTTCGGCTTGTCCTTGTGCTCACCTCCTGCTACCCCTGCCACTGGGAGGAGATGCTAGGTGTCCTGCAATAGCTCGGGTCACATCCTGTTCTCTCCGCTCTGCAGCGAGCAAAGGTAAAGCTCGTGTCCTTCCAGGCTGCAAAGCCTTTAAGCACAGTTGTGACAACATTAATGCCTCCCGTGAATTTTTCCTCTTAAAAAACTTTTTTTGTTTGTTTCAGCTTTTTTTTAACAGTACATAGGAGTTCCTTATGAAATTGCTTTTACTTTATACCTGCCTGCACATGTATGCCTTGTACCTTGCAAGCAGAGTGCAGAGAACATAAAACTGTCCCCAAAGCCTGGAACATCTTCAGGACTGAATAAATAAAGAATAATCTTGCTGTGGAAACCCAGCCAGGAGTACCAGGTGGCGAATGTGCCAGGTACCTGGTGTCTGCTCCGGCTGTGCTTCTGCCAGCATCTGGGGCTGGAACAGTGTGGTTAGTGGTTGAAGACTTAAAAAAAAAAAAAAAAAAAAAAAAAAAAAGACGTTTATCTTGTACTTTGAGTTCTTACAGGCAGGAGAACATAGCCTTGTTTTCAAGGTAGAAGGCAAGGCAGTATAGCACTGTATAGAAGATTTGTAATCGCCGTGATAAACTGTGTGGCGGTGTGCCAGGAGCAATATCCAGTTCCAGTAAGACTTGACTTGTGCAGTTGAGTACGAGGGGAACATATTAGTCATGATGTTTATCTGTTGTCTGGTCCTTGGTTAGATGAGATATGCCTGTCCTGCTTTTCAGCAATGTTTCCAAGCCTTCCCCATCCCTCTCTGCTCACCAGAGGCTTCTTGGCTGCCCCCAGCCCCGTGTCTTCCCGCTTCCAGGGCTTCCAGGGCTGGAGGTTTTGCTGGATTTTGGGAGATATGCTTTAAAAGATGCTTCCTTTGGAACCCACCTTGCCTTGGTTTGGGTGGCTCCGGGTGCAATCCTGCCCCATGCCCTCTTGCCCCGCTGCAGTTCACCTGGAGGGATTCTGTGGCGGCACCAGATTTGACTGCAAAGATGTGAAATTCGTCGTGGGTGAAGGGGAGGACCATGACATCCCCATTGGCATCGACAAAGCCCTGGAGAAGATGCAGAGGGGAGAGCACTGCGTCCTCTACCTCGGGCCACGGTAAGGAGCATTCCCGCAGGGATGCTGTCTAGTTTTAGGCTTCCAGCATCTGAGGTCATTTTAGCACTTGCAGAAGATGGCGATTCTGAAAACAGGACTCTCCAAGAGAGCCTCGGGTTAGCAATGCCAGCAGGGATGGCAAGAGCGACCAGGGGCATGTAGGCAGGAATGTCGAGATGCTTTAAAAAAATGACGTAAAAGGCGTTTATCCGGGTCCTGGGGCTGAAAGGAAAATGTCTCCCTGGAAATTGCCAGGGCTGGGTCCTTCCACTGGAGAGAAACCTGTATAAATAGACAGATTTGATGCATCCGGAGAGGATGATTCCCAATACATAATGCATTGTGTATTGTCAGATATCTTTGCTCATGGAGAACAACATCATCCTGGCCCCAAAGCGTTAGAAAGCTGCAGGCGTGGAGCTGGGTGTGAAACCAGAATTAGTAACCTGGGTCTGTCTTTATAGCCAAATGCTGCCGAAATGAAGATTTTTCCACCCCCCTGCTGTGATAGCTCCTTTCTACCCTTTCAGGTATGGCTTTGGCGAGGCAGGGAAGCCGAAATATGGCATCCAGGCGAATGCAGAGCTGGTGTACGAGGTTACACTGAAAAGCTTTGAAAAGGTGAGGGTAGGAACGTGCTGGTCCCTTCCCAGGTTATGGGAACGCTGGTGCCTTTGCAGCGTCCACCCTTTGTCCCTGGCGTGGCTGCAGCCTGGCCCCTGCTGAAGTGGATACGTCACCAAGGATCTCTGTGTTCTTAATTTGTTCTTCTCTGTTCGTTTGTTTTATTTTTCTGGCTGGGGTCCAACATTGGTTCTCTTACTTGTTCCTAGCCTTGTTCCTTTTGTACTATTTTTTTTCCCTTTTATTTTTTTCCCTTTTTTTCCCTTTTATTTTTTTTCCCTTTTATTTATTTTTTTTCCCTTTCCTTTTATTCCCCCCCACCTCCACCTCCCCTGGGCTGCACAGATGAAAGCTGGCGTGTCTGGCCAGCTGGCCCCGAGGAGCTCAGCTGGCATGCCAAGCCGGCTGTGCCCGTGGGGAGGCTGGGGACGGGATACAGGAGATGCCCATGGGATGGGGCAGGTGCTGCTGTGCTGCATCCCTGACTGGGTCCCCTCCCCACCCCATCACCCTGGCCGGAGCGAGACCCACTGCATCCCTTCTCTGCTGAGGGATGTCTCTCCCCACCCTCCTCTTCCCTTTTTGGGGTTTATTTTTGTCAGGGTTTTTCCTCCTGTGGGGTTGTGGTGGACAAACCACCTTGCTTGGGGTGAAGTCATGAACCTGGTGGGGGTTTCTCTGTTGTAAAGGGCTCCAGGTCTGCACCTCCATGTGTGCTCTAGGTGTCTCCTTGTCCCCAGCCTCGCAAATTAAAAAAGCTGCTAGACCTGCCCTCTGTAATACTGCCCTGAGGGGGCCCCACTCCTTAACAAGCAGTCCTAGAAAGCCATGTGGTTCTGCTGGTGCGGTAGGTTGCTGTGCTTCGTGCTCCACTGGGATTGCGCCGAGCGTTTATTTGCAGGCCAAGGAGTCGTGGGAGATGGACACCAAAGAGAAGCTGGAGCAGGCTGCCGTTGTCAAGGAGAAAGGCACAATGTACTTCAAGGTTTGTAAACTTAGGGATGGTGGAGGAGGAGCAAGGGAGCTGGAAATAAATTCGGGGTGACTGTTGGATATACGACTTAGCAGTCGTCAGTGTCAGAGAAGCTATGTCCCCCCCAAACAGTACTGGGGAAGGCAAGTCCTGCCCTTCCTCTGCCTTTTTCTCACTCCCTGACGTACCTTGTCCTTTCCCAGTATTGCCTTGCCCATGTGTGCTCCCTGCGGAGCAGGACGGCGGATCGGACTGTTCCCAGGGGTGGATGTGACCAGGGCTAATGCTGAGGGGCTTTGCGGTTCCCCTTCCCAAGCTGGGGCATCCTGATGCTCCTCTGCTCTGCACAGAGGAGGAACACAAGCTCTGACTTGGCTTTTCATAGGGGCTGCACACCAGCAGCTCCAGCCAAGTCCCGGTGTGGTTGTAGGTATTCGGCATCCTCCTTCCTTTATTTATTTATTTAACACGCTGCATTAAACTCATAACCTGTTTGCAGGATGTTTCGGGAGCAGACCGAGCGTTGTTGTTGGGGATTCCTCTAGCCTCTTCTTCTTTGCTCCATCCCAGGAAGGCAAATACCTGCAGGCAGTGATTCAGTATAGGAAGATCGTGTCCTGGCTGGAAATGGAGTACGGCTTGTCTGAGAAAGAGTCGAAAGCCTCTGACTCCTTCCTCCTGGCTGCCTTCCTCAACCTGGCCATGTGCTACCTGAAGCTGCGAGAGTACGCCAAAGCCGTAGAGTGCTGCGATAAGGTAGAGGTGCACGAGCCCGGGCGTTGGAGCATCCTCTCCTCTTGCATGTTTTCACTGGGAGTTTGGGTTTTTTTAGATTTCTTTTTGTATAAGAAGCGATTTCCAAGCAGCAGTGGGATGGTGGCATCCCTTCTGCGTCTTCGCGTCTCTGTGGATACTGCATGCTCAGAGACTGCAGGAGCAAAACTTCAAAGTCCACCTGGGCATGCACTTAAATAGCTTTTCTTCCAAAGCCAGATCCACATGAATGGATGCTGCATGGACCGACAGCCTTAGGATGCTGTTTGGGTCTGCCCAGGCTGGATCTGGGCGTTGGGTGCTGATCTGGGTACGACAGAGGCAGTCTCTGCCAGAGCTGCAGCGGATCTCCAGATCCGTTGAGGGGTGTGATGGGGCTTTGCCAGTCCCTAAAAGAGTTACAACCTTGTCTTTGTCAGGAAACTATTAGTTCTTTTATAAAAGGCTTAAATTTAAGCATCTTGCTTATGGGAAAGATAGTGAAGCTAGTTGCCTTAATCTAAAAGGTAAATCATCTCTGAGATGCATATGTGGCTTTTACTAAAGGACAATAATGTCATTGCTAAAGCAGGGAGACAAAACCACGTTTAATCCAGCTCCCTTGCCTCTGAGCTCTCCATGCTCCTCTGGGCTCAGGTTTAGTTTTTACACCTGATTTCTTGTCTGTGGGTTTGTCGCCCACTGACTCTGCCACTCTCAGGAGGATTTTAAGCAAGGAGAAATAACTAAACTATATTAATGATGTGCCAGCTGCTGATAGAGGTGAGTCAATCTTTGTTGAGCAAGATACAAGTGCTCTGGAGAATTGAAGCCACCTTGTCCTAATTTTGGCAGATTTAATGAGGCTTTAACCACAAGGGGGTCTTTGGGGGATCCCCAAGTTGCTAACAGGGACCTGTGTGTTTCCAGGCGCTAGGACTGGACCAGGACAACGAGAAGGGCTTGTACCGGAGGGGCGAAGCCAGGTTATTGATGAACGAGTTTGAGCTGGCAAAATGTGACTTTCAAAAAGTGCTGGAAGTGAATCCACAGAACAAAGCAGCGAAATCCCAGATCTCAGTCTGCCAGAAGAAGACGAAGGAGCACAATGAGCGGGACCGGAGGATCTATGCCAACATGTTTGCAAAGTTTGCAGAGAGGGATGCAAAGGTGCGTGTTACCCATTTTTGGCCATCTAGCAGGCTGTGCTGAAGGATGCTCGGAAGGTTTGTGATGAGAAGAGGTAGGTTAAAACCAGTTACATTATAGATTAGGTTGAGGATGGAGGGATAGAGCCTGCTGCAATGGGAAGAAGTGATTTGTTTCTTGGTCTCTCTTATGCAGAGACTGCTGTCAGATGCTCAGTGATCAATAGAAGTATTTGCGATGTGGGCTCACGAGGGCTGATAACAGGGTTGGTATTTGTACTTAATTTTGCTGTTCCCATCTAGTGACTGTTGACCTCTTGGTCATTGGTAAAATGAAAAGTCATCCCGTCTCTGGCAAGGCCAAGGGTACTTTGAGACATGATAGTATCGATTTCCTGAACCTGGTAAGGCAATAGCCTGCTCCTCTGCTCGTACGGGGAGATTGGTGCCTTGTAACAGGCTCTCATCCAAAATTCCTCTGCACAAAACCTGGTGTACTGTAATGAGAGGACACAGCTTTGCAAGCCATCTGCATGGGTCATTTTTAGTATAATCTCTTCTGAACTGGTGCCTGGAGGTTGAGGCTGTGGAATAAGTGACCGGTGCAGACCCTGGGTAGCAGTGTGCTGGGGTAGCTGGCTCAGGGCAGGGAGCAGGGCTGGCTGCTGGCACCATGGTGCATTGGCTTGTGCAGCTGGCTGTGGTGAGGAGAGTCACTGCTGGAGCAGGTGTAAGGCTTTACTGTGCCTTAGCACTCCTCTCCTGCACCTGCTGGCTGGGCTGCACCCATGGCTGGGTGTATAGGCTGCACCTATGGCTCGGTCCCGTATCTCCACTCCGATGCTGCTGCCTCGTCTCCTTGTCCCTCTCCTCTGTGCCCCTGCATCCATCTGTCTGGGCTCACCCTGCTTCCGTCGAGGTGGGTCACATCATTCCCAGGGGATCCCATACCTTCCCCAAAAGCTCGCTGAGCCAATGAGGTTTAACCTCCGCCAGCCGCTGAGCCAAGAAAACAGGAGCCTCTGGTGTGAGCCATGGTGGTTGATAGGCAGGGGGGAGCCAAGGAGAGGAATTTTACCTGTCCTGCCAGGTTTGGTTGCCTGTACCCATCCCCAGCATCGCTATCACCTGCCTGCTGCTTCCTCCTCACTCCTGTTTCTCATCCGTGTGCTTTATTTGCTATTTTGCAGGAAGCAGCTAGCAAAACTGGGGTCGAAAAAGCAGTGGAGAAAGCAGCTTGTGAAAAGGGACTGAAAACTCCTGGTGCTGAAGAAGAAGAGGCCGAAGGACACGTATGATGGAGGAGGAGGGGAAGGGAGAGCCTCTTGCCCTCGGCCCACGCAGAAAAAGGTTGCTGCCAGACCTTGGGACTCGCCAGTGTTTTCTTGTAAAGCTTGTTACAGTTTGTGTGATCGTGGAAGCAAAAAGCGCCTCACAAAGAGCAATGAACCCTGTCCCACTGCCCTGAGTGCGCTCGGGGGCAGAACGGGAGTGGCGGGATGCCGTGGGACCACCGCACATGGAACAAATAGCTTTTTAACAGAGAGAAAGAGAAAAAAAAATAAATAAAAATTGAAACTCTTGGCTCTTGGGAGGTTTCCATAGACAGCTTGTCCCAGCTCTCTTGGCTTCGTGTCAGCCCAGCATCCCAGGTCCTCTGTTATGAGCTGGGATGTGGGAGATGCTCCTTGTACGCTGCAGTGCTACCTCCAGTTGTATCTGGCATGCAACCGCGCTGCACCACACCGGTGCCAGCACGGGGTGCCGCAGTGTCTCCGCCAGCCCCAAGCGTGGAGGGGAGCGCCGCCAGCACAGACACAGTTGGCTGCTGGAATCCGCAGCTGACTCACGAGGAATCCAGCACCCCAGAGCACCTGGCAGCTTGCTCACCCATGGGTGCTCACTGGGTTGGGGGGGAAATTGGTTTTCTCTCCTGGTGGCTTCTTGCCTGTGGCTGAAGGGGTTGCGATGCGGAGCCAGGCATGAGGATGAGGACCCGCATCCCCTCTGCTGCAGCCCTTTGGTGCAGGGATGTAATTTGCCTTTAAAGCACTGTTTTGAGGGGTGGATTTTATCTTCTGAAGAAGTTGGTTTCTGTTTCCTTGGAGAGCAAAAGCCTCCTGTCCAGCTCTGCTGCTCACAGGTGCTCAGTCGACACACAGCCTGCAGCCCATCTCTCGGCTCCCATCTTTAAATGGGAGTTTTATTGCTTATTTGGGGTCCGCATGGGGGAGAAAAAAGAGCAGGTTGATGTACTGTGGTTCAGAAAGCAAGTGACTGGGTCTGAGCTGGTACTGTGGGTTTACGGCTCATCAGTGAGCAGCTTTCCTGTGGTGAGGGGGGACAGCAGTGTGCACGGGATGCATTGTGTTCCTGCACTGGTGCTGCTGCCGCCTCAGCCATCGTCCCCCTCCATCCTAAAGGGACAACATCATTACTGTGTAAGAACAGCTTTCCGGTTGTTATTTTTCCTGTCCTTTGTAATACCCCTTTTGGAGCTTGAAAATAAACAACTGAAAGAAAAAAAAAAAAAGTGCTTTTTCTCTGGATCCTGCTCAGCAAAGGGGGTGGCTGTGGGGAGAGCAGGCATGCTCTCCCCTGGGTGGAGATGCCCTGGGTCCAGCAAGGGGTTCGTTAAGGAATTATTAGTGTCCCCAAGGACCGATGCTGACCCTTTTTATCAGCACCATCATTCCCTGGAGAGCCGGGAAAGGGCCAGAAGGCCATGCTTCAGAGATGCGTGGCTGGGGGATGCTACTTGGGTCTCAGCTGTTTTTCCAGCCTGGGAGGGGTTATCCTGATGCTTCTTTTTTTTTTTTTTTTTTTTTTCCCACAGGGACTTTTTTGTGGGGGCTCTCGTCTGG